CCGCCCACCGCCCCCCATTTTCTTTCCCTCAGTGTGAGCATGTTAGGGAAAATTGCTTTTATATTACTTGGAGTGAAGCTCGGTTGGGTTTTTGCTCGGCTCTCGTTTCCCTTTCGGTCCATGTGTCATTATGTGGTATACACATTGTTGCAGCGCCTGCTGTGTCTTACACTTCCGCAGTGGCAGCTGCAGACACGCCCACTCCCTCAACGCCACCATCATGGGGGCTGGGGAGATTTTCTTTAACCTTTGGGGGTCAGTTCTTCCCATCTTCGCACGCAGTTTCCCGGCTGAGTTCTTGTCTTGTCATTGTTTGTTTAATTTTGTATGCCGGATATCCCAGCGTGTTCTTGCCATTGTCCTGCTGTCACCGAAACGCCAGCAACAATAACAGTAACATAAAGTGTGGGCGTGGCCAAAGGCTTCCTCCCAACGCCCCACCTCCAGAACTCCCCAACATCCAACCACCTCTTCATCGCACTTCCATCAATGTTTATGCCGCTGACAACAAAAGAAATTAAATTGCCAACACTGAAATTCAATTGTATCTTCCTTCCCGAACCTCACTCAAAATTCCTCAAAGCCACCGTCGTCGTGGAAAGCGGAAAAGTACGGCGAATGACGACAACTTGAATGGTTATTGGCCCTGACTTATTGGAACATTGATTTTCCCTTTGTCGTGGCGGGGGCCTCAATTGTAGGAAGTAAACATTTTCGGCGCTTTCAATTTATTAAAAGGCGCGTGAGGCAGCCATAAAAAGGTCAATGATTATTATGCCGTCCATGCAAAATGGCAGACAGTATCCAAAATAGTCAAAGTGCGGGAAAACAACTCGGAATTACACAGAGAAAAACATTCTCAACGATCTGTAGTCCAGTGTCAATCACTTTAACGATTGTCATATGGGCTTGATACTTTTACTATAGTGAGCATTGTGTGGATTACATGCAACTAAAATTTGAAATGATATATTCTTTTCCATTCTTGCCCCATTTTCATAAATTTTTTCCGCGGTCCAATTTGTTTCATTTTGGTTCTGAGGGGCACTGGCACTGGAATTCTTGTGGTGCTTCATGGAGATGAAAAGGAAGCTCGGCTAAATAAACTGGCCCTTCCCGATAGTTCAGTTCGCATCCGCATTAATATGGAAATTTAATTCGCCGTCGGGCATTGTGCTTCGCTCTTCCTGGCCATAAATCAACATTTAACACAACCTGAACATCCGCCGCTGTTTGCTCAGTTTTTTAACCATTTTCATTTCCAGTTTCAGCTGAACAGCAGTCCGCTTGCCAGCTGGCATTAAAGCCTGCTTTGTAGCGCTTTAAGTGCAATTACAAGCATTAAAAGTGTGCATAATTAAAAAATGTTGCCCTCTTTATGACACATTAACATATTTGCATACGGTCGTTGTTGCCATAACTCCCGCTTTTCCGCTTTGATCCCTGATGGTTAATTTATTTATTGAAACAAACAGCGATGGGTTTTGGGCTTAATCGGGATGCAAGAAGGTGCGCCCATTTGGGCCAAAATGAGGAGTGATGGGTGGAGCATGTCACATTTGCATTCCGCCGGCGATTGTTCCACTGCCCAACTGCCGTCTAATTCGGATTCAAATTCAGATTTGCTTTGGGTTTCGCACACAGCTGCAGTTGCATTCGATTACGGCCAGCGTATAATTGTGCAACGCTAATCAAAGCGAAATCGCTCTTGGCCCGTCGGGCGAATCGATTAATGTGCCAAGGATGCATTTTCAGATGCAAATGTATCTGCGAGTAGTACTCTGCATTACATGTTATTCCCATTACCGTAGCCATTACTGCAGCTAATAATCGGCGACATTGAAATTCGCCCAGGCCGCCTTTGTTTCGAGCAAGTTATTCAGCATAAGGACCTTCTTTAATTGGCACCAAGGTAACGCATAAATTCGGGTGTGACAAAGATACAGAAGAACTGCCGCAAAGATTGAATTCATTCCGTGGTAACCGGAAATTGCGAGGAAGAGCGGCGGCACACTGAGAGTAAAAAGAAACAGTAATGCTTACAACAATTAAAAAGTACACTTAAGCGGAAATGTTCGTTTGATAGATAGCCTTTATGAAATGAGTGTGTTTCTATAGTTTTTAGATCGAACCTTTTCCAGTTCAGAATTTTTTCATTGGCCTGGCAATGTGTAATTAGTTAAGGGGTCCTGCATTTTTCGCAGTGCAGTGCTTCCCCTCTCGGCAGTCGGTATGTGCGAGAGAATTATTATCTTGTACTTGCCCATGTCAAGAAATTTGCATTTTTCGGTCTGACAAAGGGCGGCGCAACGGAGGACAGGACGAGGTGGTGGCAGCCGTGTAGACAGGACTCTCTGTGGTGCGATGTCAACGTGTGCTACCAGTTCCAATAGCTACACCAAATTGTCTGCCACAATGGACTGACAAGGTGCTAGATTGCATGTGTGGGGCTGTTTTAAATAGAGCAACAATGTGCAGTGGCAATGAGATGATGGCTGCCAGCAAATGTGACACAGATACGAGCTGAAACTTTCCAATGTACTGACAAAACCACTGAGGGCTTACAGGTGGAGTTCTTGGGCCTTCGCCAGGGACCCAATGTCATGCGATCTCACTGCCTTTTTAATTAAAACGCGTTTCTTTGAAGTTATCGTGAGGCGGTTTTTGTTTGCCAATGCATACGAAACAGAACAGTTTTATTATATTTGAACCAGAAGTAGTTTTTCTTTCACCATAAAAAATGGCAGAAAAAAGGGGCAGGTAATTGGTTAGTTAGTCCCAAGCTGCATATTCAGCAAGCAATTTGCTAGATTAAACATTAATCGCACCACCCAGAGGACAATTTAGCCGTGCTAAAGCACTTGGCCTTGAGTCCACCGTAAAACTGGAGTACTCGATCCGTTTATAGCGCCCGGTAGAGGCATCATAACCATATAATACACACCCATATGTTCCAGGGAACTAGCGCCCCGCACCGCCCCAATATCCTGGCTATCAGCCAATCCGCCCATTTAATTGTGCGGTTTCTCAGCCATTTTTATGTGTTTTAATTTTCATTGGAGCACTAAAAACTTGTCAACGTCGTCAATGTCAGCGTGTTCCCGCTTCGGGGGAGAAAGTGGCACCAAACGGGGAGCAGCGAGTGGCACCAACACGATCTCGAGGAGGCCAATAAACACTTTTATAAAATTCTCAAATCGCACGTGTTGCGTTTGTCAAGGGGTTGCTGTGTGTTTGGAAGTGGAAGTCGCCCGACAACGGGACCAACAATACAATAAAACTGCTAAGTGCATGGGCATGTTGCTGTGGCATATAGCTCCATATAGCTCTATTCGGTCCCTACTCCACGATATATATGCATTAATCGAGGTGTGCTGCATGCCGCCCATAAAAACCGAGTGGGTGCACTCGGAAAATTATGGGATTCACCTGAGGGCGAATGCGTTACTTGCTCGGGGAACATCCTGATTACTGCCCTGTACTAAAGTGTAGAATTTTGTTAAATAAAAGGTCTGTGTGTATTGCAGTCGGCTGTATAATCTTCCACAATATTAACAATCGATTTCTTAAACGGAATCATTTTCCTCCACCTGTGCCATTTAATTTACTATGGCTTGCTAGTACTCCAAGATAACTTCCAGCATTTCTTCGAGTGCACAACAGAACTGGGAGTGGAAGTGGAGGCCGCATCGATAAGCTTCCAGAAAAAGAGTGCAGCGCGTGTGCCACATAAAAATGGCATTTTGACATGGCCACCGGGTGGATGTTGTTGCAGGGGGCGAAGGGGTCGGCTAATGAGCATTATGAATGCTTGCCATGATGTCATTGCACTTGAGTGGATCTAGTTGTGTTTTCCTTTATGTAGGGGCAACCTTCACACCCCACCCAATGCCAACTCCCCCGAAGTCTTACAAAGCAGCGGGCAATGAAAGCCGGGAAATTTGTTGCATGGGGCTGGCGAAAAGTAATTGCAACTTAAATAAACTAAACGCCGGAGCAGCGACCGCAGGGCGGAGGACAAACAGTGGCGGAGTAGCAGTAACGGGTTAAGTGGCCGCATCCTCCAGTCGCCATGAAAGGGTTAAGCTCACATATTTAGTATTGTGCACATGGGGCTGAAGAGGCTGCCACTTGAGCACAGCCTCATTAGCAGGAACAAAAATCAGGCTCACAAAGAACTCACTTTGTTCTCGTTAAATTAAACTTTGCTCTTTGGTTTGTTTGCATTTCGGGATTTGTTGCACATGATTTGTTATTGTGTATCACTTTCAAGTTGGCTTCGGGGATGCACAGCGAGAAACTGTGTTACTTTTATGAGAACCGTAAAAGTAAATTCCATAGAGTTTAATTTTTGTAAGCAGTTGAGAAACGAAAAATAATGTAAGTTTAAATTGAATTTAATTAGTAGAAACTATAAATCAAACAAAGAGGTTTCAGCTGTACTTTTTTAAGCTTTACGCTTGTATTTTCAATGCTACAGATACAAAAGAATTGGGCTGGTATAGAATGATAATACTGAGGATAGGGCTAACAAACTGTTAGTATCTCAAATATGATTTATATATTTGCCAACCAGTTAATGATGGTTGAGTAGCATGAATATAATGCCATTTGTAGTTTAAATGCTGCGGGCTGCTGCCGGCAACATGTTGCTGTGGTTCCAGCAACATGCTGCCACCGCCCTTCCAGCGCGCTAATTTTGGAAACGCTAACGCCGCGCTACGTCACACCAGCCCAGCGAAGTCTTCATGTCTTCATGTTTTTCGGGGTGTGTTCTTGGGTCCGTCCTGATAACTCCTCAGTCGTCTGTCAACTTGTCGTAGGCGCGGATTGTCGCTCCCGGGAAAATTTAGATTCGGATGTGCGGTGCGTTGTGTTGCGTTGCGTTGCGGTTTTCAGTGTTTGTTTACATGCCAAATACTTGCGTTTTGGGGGACGACGGCTGCGCTGTTTAATTACACAATAACTAAAGTTTGTTTGTTGTTCATTTCGCTTTGCAGAGCACTTCCGGGGAGCAAAACAGCTGGACACAAGGGACGTTTATGAGTGCGTGAAGTGAAGTACTTGGCAGATGCCAAATGGGTGCTGTCTGAAATCAAAGAAAAAATAAATCAAGACCAGAGGAAAGCCATCAAATCGACGAACAATTAACGGGCGGAAATGGAAATGGAAATGTATAAACAATCAGCAAAATGTGCAAATTCGTGGAGAGCCAATCGAAAGCCAGCTTGAGTGAAAGTGAAAAACTGCGGCGCGGGCAAATTATTAATTATCCGGCTGCTCTTTAGCGCAGTGCAGACATTTTGTTTATGAGCCAATTTGCGAAGCGCAAATAAAACCGAACCGCTGCCAGTCGAGCATTAATAATTTGCATATTCCGTCCCATCCCCATTTAACCCCCAAAAGTCCCAAGAAGCAGACAGTGCGGCGTGCGGCGTGCGGCGTGCGGCGCTGAAGTGTTTATCAAATTGTGTGTGCCACAAATGCAAGGCATTTTCCCGACACGCGTCGCAATACTACTTTCCCCCTCGAAATGCTGGAGTTGCAACTTTGCGGAGATTTGTCAGCCGGCGACTTGAGCGAAATTCCCAAAATGGGAAGCCACAGGGCCACGGATACGGGACATCGCCAGATCCGGAGCCACAGAAAATCCGACTGCCGGACTCTTCCAACCAGATGCCTCCTGCTGCTCCTCGGCGTTCTACTTTTGAGCATGGGTGAGTGCGCCATTTGTTTAGTCTAATTATAATGCCAATGATAATGTTTACCAATCGGGGAACATCAAAGATGCTGGTTGAAAAGCTATCAAACAAATATAGCTGTACCTTGCAAAAATGTTTCCATAGAAAAGTTGTGCTATTTTTGCTTCGTGTCAGAATCGAAAAAAATTCTACTATAGAACTTGTTCCTTATTTGCGTATTTCACGGGAAAAACGACCTCACCCACCAACGGTTTTCAATAAGTCATAGAGCATCTTTGTGAAGCATCCTTACTATCTTTCGAACCGCCGAATTCGAGACCATTAAAACGCACTTTAGGAGCTTCATTTGTTCAATTTAATGAAGTATTTGTCAGGCATCGCCACTCAGCAACCCCGCCCCATCTGTCATCCCTTTTCAAGTGGTATCTGCGCATCTGGAGGATGGGGCACTGTCAACCACACAACCCCCAACTCAATTGACTGCTCCACTTATTTTTTGCCAAGTCGGACGCTGCGGCTGCTCAATTAAGTGCCTCCAGTGTGACTCTAACTCCAAGTTCGTCCGCCCTTTCCAAACTTACATACACATATAAATACTTTCGAGTAGAAATGCTCACAACAAATGGTTCGACTTACACCGCATCACATTAAAACAAACAATAGAATCGTAGAATGCACAAAAATATTAGTATCCATTCTAGACAGTTGTAACTATTTCGGGCAATATGTGGCTAACCTTCAGTTTAAACTTCGCTTTCATTTGATGTAATATACCAACTACCAGTTCTGCTGTTTTCGGGCTTTTTGTTTTCTCAGTGTAGGTTCAAACAATCGATACTTGAAATGACATCCGAAACAACACTTTGGCATAATAAAATACAAATAAAAGGGACATCGCCTGCGATACAGAGCCGCCAATTGATTGACGAAGTGGCAAAGATCTGGCGAGTGGGAAGTGTAGAGTGCCGGGCAATAAAAGGGATTGACAGGCGTTCCTAAGCGGTGGCGAGGTGTCATCCTGGCAGTGGAAAAGGGGTTCGATCCGGGCAGGGAATCCACTCGACTCGACTCCCTGTCAATGGCAATCAGCAGAGGAATCACATCCCGCACACACACTCCACAGTCGAGAAGCGCTAATGCTGATGCCGAATGCTTGTAAAAAGTTTTTAATGACTCCGGCTGCCGTGTCGCCATGGCCACAAAACTGAACTCTATGGCGCCCGGACTCCAACCGAAGCGAGGCGGATCGAATCGAATCGAATCGAATGGAATGGAATCGAATCGAATATGGAATCGAGGGGCGTTTGGCGTTTGGCGAGTGCAGGGGCATCCGCACTTGCCAAAGCAAATCTGTGTCAGACTGTTGCTCCATTACTCCGCTGCTAATGAACAGCTTAAGCAGCCTTTCAATGGGGACATTCCCTCGATTGCAATCAGTGCAGTCGTTCTGGGTGTTTTGCGGCCTTTTCCTGCCAATTTCTAAACGGAAGTGCAAGGCCACATGCAGGCACAGATTCGCCTAAATGTTGACTAAAAATAACTATTGATGTACAGAGAAAAACACAAATAATTCGCTTAATTTAGCAATTTTAGATACAAATGCGTTCTTTAAGAATGCCGAAAACTTCAAATTGTAGCTCCAAATATTACACATCTCTGGCTCGAGTGGATTTTCCGGTAGCCGAGGAAGGGGTGGGAATTCCATTGGTGTTGGGCGAGATTCGTGACTCTTTGGAGCGCATTGTTGTAGGTCTTTTCCAGCCCAAAGTGCAGAGCACTCCAGCTCACGGCGTTTTGAAGATCTGCATCAGCATCAGCAGAACGAAAAGCGAGGCATCAGCTCCCTATTAAATGGAGGCCGCGGCGCTAATGGATGGGGTTAATGGCTGGGGTTGGCGGCAAAGTGGTGTATTAGTAAAAGTGAATTAGAACCGAAAACGGGCTGCCATTGTTCTGATGTACGACGGACTGCAGGCCATAACCATTCCACCGAAAAGAAGTGTGACTGTAAATCAGTGCATTGAAAGCTTTGCGGATTAGTAATAAATTTAATTTGATATTTGGGGAGATGCGAATGGGGGGTTTGGGTGGTTTTCATGGTCCGTCGACTATGTAAACTCGTTTCCATCAATTTATGCTCTATCGAAAGTGCATAATAATCAGCGGCATATAAATACCATAAATCCCATGAGCACACTGATGGTAAACCAGCGCTGGGCATTCGCAATCAATTTCCCCATTTGCTCACTAATAACAAAATGCAATTCTCTATAAATTCAATACTCACTCGAATGCGTCAAATAAAAATACACTTCAGAGGTCGAATGGAAGTAGACTAGAAAATACCCCATATTCCGGTTACAGGTTTTAAGCAGCTGGCAGTAGATGAAATCTAAATGAATCTTACTTAGACTAACAAATAAAAAAGACAATTTTGTAGGCTTACAGCTTTTTATTTAGAATTATGGCTTTTCAGCCGTATTATTGATCCGACAGTATTTGTGGAACTAAAACTGCTGTGCAGCCTTTTCCCAAGAACCCTCCACAAATGCAACGGTTTTATCATTGAAATATTAATTGCAAAATAATATTGACAGGAGGCAAACAAATTACAAATAACATATGTAAATTTCCTGTGGTCCAGTACTTGCGAAAATGCCATAGGCAAACGAGTGGCGCTGATGGCTGATGGGCCAGAATTTTCGGCCAGCAAACAAATTATGCTAGTCACGCAAAAATGGCCAAAAGGTAAATCGAATTCGCAAATCAGGCTTAGACTCGCGTCTGTATTTGTTTATTATTAATGCAATTTGTAATTATTTGTTCCGGTGGCGTGACTGCCAGCATGTGAGCCCACAATGCATGTTCGCATACCCATAGCCATAGCCATTCCCATCCCGATTCGTCTGTTTGCCGGCTTGTTTATTTGTTTGCTTGCCACAGCCATAAAACGCAATTATCGCGCACAAAGAACAACGCTGGGTGCAGGAAAAGTGCACATCCAACTATGTAGTATACCCACGACCCTAACCAGAACCCAAATGTAGCCAGGAAAAAAGCCAGGGAGAGTTTTCGCAAAAGCTGCAAAAGTTGTCGCCAGCATCAGAGCGTTCCGCATTTTCGCATTTGCGTTGCCATAATTAACTTATTTTGTACATTAGCAACAGATTTTGTTTATTAACGCATGTGCGCTTGCTTTCGGTAATGCGATACCATTCACGCACCCACGGGCTTTAATGTGTTAAGCACTGGGGCCGCAGGACCTCGGGACCACGGGACCACGGGGCGTATACTTATCTTTTGGCATTGCGAAGTGAGTTTATTTGTTTTCTGCTGTGGTTCCTTGGGTGGTTGGCTGGTCTGGAGGGTCGGTGGCTTGGCATTTTGTGCGGTTGCTGTCGCATAATTTATTTATCATTAGCAAAATTTGGCAAGCATTGGAATGCTTTCTTCCCGTTCCCCCCGCAAACTTGGCTATGGCTGAGTGTCTCTGTATTTGGCTAAATAGTTGAAATAATTAGGCTCATTAGAAGTTTTGTAGGTCTCTGGCTGCGGAGTGCTGCCTTGATTGACAAGTGCAAATTGGTATTAATGCAGAAGTTCGGGAAACTTCGGCAGCCGCAAGCAAAGGGGGGAATTTTGACCGAGCTCAGGGCGATTACTACGAATTAAATTGGAAAATTCCACGAATAAATGAGCCAGTTGAAATGGAAATAAAGGCAAAACTCGTGTATATATATAGCCTTTTAAATATAAAGTGCTGAATTTAAATCCACTTCGTAATATAAACGCAAATTATGAACAGGTCCAGAAAGGTTTAGGGCGTTCCCGGTATTTTTGCGATACTAATGCGATTCCGCCAGCAGATTATTGGGAACAACAAATTTTCTAATATTTAAACTCCATCTGGCAATAGTTCACGTTTAATTAAGCAACGTTGCCAAAAAATATTTGGAACAAATCACGACGACAAAATCGCAACTGGCACACCCAAAAATACCACACTTTTGTTTCAGCTTTTTCAGTTTATTCCATTTTCACTTTGTTTTTGGAAGTATTTCTGGCTGTGCCACTCCCCCGAAAAACAAAAACTTGTTGTTCGGAGGGTCCAGGCAAACTGTGTGTGCGAAATGCAACAGCCGCAACAAAAACGACATAAACTTTTAACAATTGCAAAACCAAATAAACAAAACGTAGGGCGAAACAAAGGGAAAACACTAAAAACTGCTGCAGGCAATAAATCTGCAATAGGTGGGTGGGAGGAGAGGCAGGGGCAATGGGTGCTGTTGGGTGGTTTTGGCCAAAATGCCGCCGGGTCCTTTGCACAGAGCCATTCATTCACACATACAAAGCAAACACTCACACATTACGGAGAACGCGCCTGCTGCGTAAATAACTAATAAGGCTCGGGGATAAATTTCAAGTGCAATTTTGTGAGCATCGTAACCAAATACAACTCGAAACAAAACAAAAACCCACGGCCGCCGGCTGGCGGGAAAACTCGCACACAAAAGTTAAGCGTACTGGTTTGAGTACACTGAAAGCAAATCCTTGCAGATCATTAGGAGGCTTGAGCTCCGAGGAAAGCACTCGAAAGCAGCTTTCCTTCCTAAATAAAAAACTATTTCAAGTGGAGTACTTACAATGCGGCGATTGAAAGTAATATTATTATCTATATAAATAAGAAATGTTTTGCCACAGTGCACTACATCTGCGTTTTGTGTGCAGCACGTTTCTATGACTTAATTAAAATTATGAATGTTTTTGCCACTGAATCTCTGGCATGACCAAAAACAGCCAGAATTGGTGGATGGCGGTCGGGGAAACAGGAAACGGGAAGCGGGAAGCGGGAAACGGGAAAACGGACAGGATGTCCATGGCAAATGCGCTTTTTGCCAGCGAGCCAAAATAAATAGGCAAACAAACAACTAGTAGCATCAATTTATGCATAAATCAGAATGCACAAAAACCATGCCAAATTGTAAACATAAAACGAAATGGATACAGTACACCCT